GCATATCTTCTTGAGCATTTAAATAAAACATCGGGGTAAGAGATTGTCATTTCCTGCCTGCCTTGAATGTCTTGTCTTGTTTATTGTAAGCTGAGAACATTTTACTTTGAATACATTTGATATTCAAGTTTTTTCCTCGAGTTGAGCCGTTTTGTTTATGTGCATATAAAATCTTTAGTTAATATAGATATTATATTATATAAATAATTTACGGTCATGATCCTGGGATTCAGAAATTGAATTCAACGTACTATTTGGCCCTTATATTGGTTTATTTTTAAGGTAGCAACACTGCGCAATATCGTCATTTAATTCTTAAAATTTGTTTTGAACGATCACGAGATATTGAGAGCACACTTCTTCATAGGATTTATTAAGTATCGCAGCCTAATTTATTTATTTTGAAGACCTCTTCAGATTAAAAAAAAATGATTGAAGTTATAAATAAAAAATTTGTTGTAATCTCGGTTGATCATGCGGCTTTCGATTGAAAACTATCTCTTTACTCAGTAAGGTTATCCTCCCCTTACAAGAAAGATGAGGAATTCATCGTGATGTAAGTTCTTTTGAACCTTAAATATGTGTGAATATCATAATGCTTGAAACTGTGGTGCCCCTGCAGGGGGGACTTCTGACGTGTGTCTGTGCTCGTCAGAAGTCCTATGGGATTTCGCGCTCATAGGGGGATTGTTCCTGAGCGCCCCACCGCTGAGCTCGCGGTGTCTGACTGCAGGTCTCAGTTGTGGGGTTAAGTTATTATGTAGGTAGGATTCCTTACATTACGTTATCATGTACGTAGGATTCCTTACATTAAGTTATTATGTAGGAAGGATAACTTACATTACGTTATAATGTAGGTAGGATAACTTACATTTCCCTTCTCTGTCTCTCTCGTGCGAGCGGCCGACGTCCCGTGTAAGCGACCTCTTGTTCGAGTGTCTTAGTTTCTGTTGCTTTTCACCTGTTCCTCCTTAATTGTCATTTCGTCTCTTTGAGATGATAACGCTGCTTCTTTCGAGCCAGTTTCAGCGGGCTGGACATATGAGACCTTCCACCCATTGTGGGTGTTGAGCTATTTTTGATTTGAGAAACTTTTGATAATTGAGACCTTCCACCTCTTTGGTGATGTTCAACATGACTTTCGGTGCGAGATAGCTAAATAGCTGAAGCGCTAGTAAACATGTGGCCACTAAACTAACTAACTAACTAACTGAAACTGTGGTCCACTTTACCATCAAGTCTATGAGGTCCATCACGGGTGTTAATATCATAATGCTTGAAACTGTGGTCCACTCAACCCTCAAGTCTATGAGGTCCATCACGCGTGTCAATATCATAATGCTTGAAACTGTGGTCCACTTTACCCTCAAGTCTATGAGGTCCATCACGTGTGTCAATATCATAATGCTTGAAACTGTGGTGCACTTAACCCTCAAGTCTATGAGGTCCATCACGCGTGTCAATATCATAATGCTTGAAACTGTGGTGCACTTAACCCTCAAGTCTATGAGGTCCATCACGTGTGTCAATATCATAATGCTTGAAACTGTGGTGCACTTAACCCTCAAGTCTATGAGGTCCATCACGTGTGTCAATATCATAATGCTTGAAACTGTGGTGCACTTAACCCTCAAGTCTATGAGGTCCATCACGTGTGTCAATATCATAATGCTTGAAACTGTGGTGCACTTAACCCTCAAGTCTATGAGGTCCATCACGTGTGTCAATATCATAATGCTTGAAACTGTGGTGCACTTAACCCTCAAGTCTATGAGGTCCATCACGTGTGTCAATATCATAATGCTTGAAACTGTGGTGCACTTAACCCTCAAGTCTATGAGGTCCATCACGTGTGTCAATATCATAATGCTTGAAACTGTGGTGCACTTAACCCTCAAGTCTATGAGGTCCATCACGTGTGTCAATATCATAATGCTTGAAACTGTGGTGCACTTAACCCTCAAGTCTATGAGGTCCATCACGTGTGTCAATATCATAATGCTTGAAACTGTGGTGCACTTAACCCTCAANGTTTGCAGGAATTGGTCCCAATACGCGCTTATCTGTCTTGTTTAAAGAAAGCCTGCCTTTGGTGCAGAAATCTACTGAAGCAGCACCGAAAATTTGGAAAATTTTACTTGATTTGGACCTGCATCGATATACCGATAGTGTCCCTGCTACTACTTATTAGGTGACCTGAAACTAATTATAAGAGTGTAACTGCAAATAATTAGTAGAGTGTACCTGCAACTAATTACTAGGTGACCTCCAACTATTTATTAGAGTGTGCTTGCAACTTATTATTAGACATCCTGAAACTGATTATTAGATAACCTGTTTTTACCCGCGCGTCAGAAGGCAGGTTGCGGGCAATATTCTTAGAAAACGGAAAAATTTTCATTTAGGCGGATTCTGAGTTTTTTTTTTGTGAATAGGGAATTTAAAAGAGTGAAAGCAACATAATTAATGCCATCAATAATTGTTTTTCTTACTCATTTAATGACTAGTTAATTTAATTCGAATGTTATTAATCACTTTAAAAAACAAATTTCTGGGAATATCATTCGATTTTATTTTCAATAGGGAAGGCACTTACGCATTTGGAATTTTTTTTTCCAAAAATCTTCCGAATATTTATTGCGTGAAACGGAGCGTGGTTTTAGCTGCATGGCTGATAGGCGATATCGCCTGAACGCGTTCATGTACAAAAGAATTTATCAAAATCAATTTATTTCGAGCTTGCTCATCTGATCATAACTACGCATCTCGCGGCCGTATTGCTGTGTTTATTAAAATATTAAATGTTTGGGTAATAATAATATTAAGTGTCCGGATAATATTAGGTGTCCATGTCGTAGTTCGATTTCCTGCGGAGCTTGACAGGCGTTTCCTTGTGTTGAAGTTAGGCTTTCGGAAATAGTGGTCGCATCCGCGGGAATTTTGCACAAGACGAACATATAATTAAGCGTTGAATAGATTTTTATTTTACTTATGTGGAATAAATTATTAGATAAGATTATTTTTAAGGTTTAAATCACTGTGGTATAGGTATATATCTCTCTGGTGTGGGTATATATGTTTAAATGACTGGTGTAGCGGTCTAAGTAAGAAAGCAGTAACTCGATCGGCATTTGCCAGCTATTTGTGTATATTAGGTAGCGAGAAATTAAATTACAAACTAATACATAAACTACTTGTGAGGTTTCGTAATTTAGCATTTTTGGAGTTTGTAGGATCACTTTCGACTTGGATATTTCAGTCTCCCGAAATTTCTTTGTTCGCTCGAAATTTCTGTGTCAATGCGTTTTCGTAGCTAGTATACCGTCATTAGCTCTTCTTGCGATTCGGGACAGATTTTCACGATGGCCAATGATGGTTAAAAAATGGAAAACAAACAACAAAATTTATATGAATAATCTGAAGAAATAGTCAACTTTCGAGGCTCTTGAGAAGATTGAAGCGAATATGGGATATAATGTGTAAATCTGTTCTGTACCTTAACAACTGACTAGTTATTTCATCGAGATCTCATGGAGTCAGATAAAGTAGAAAATTTGTACCCGTTGCGAACACCGGGATTGCGAACTGAGGTCGGGTAGATCCTGCTGAACAATTCAAGATTCAACATTACCTCTTACCTTAAGCGAAATCTATTTAAAATAGGCAATTTCTGGAGCTGGAAAAATTTCATTAACTTATATACGTATATCGGTGGTACGGTCCCTGACTTACATGGCCATCAATGGTTATTAAGAAGTTGCCCGAATGATGAGGAAGTGCTTCGTCGTTTTCAAAAGTGATGTCAACCGCTCGTTCTTCATTCACATTCTCGTCATGAATTGTTGGAAATCCTGGTGCATTTATAACGTAACCGCTCATCTTTCATTCACATTCTTGTCATCAAATTCTGATGCGTTCGTAATTTCATCAGGTCTCCATGCCAACCAAGTTCAGGATGCTACTCAGGTGCCTGATACGCTGCTGTACGTGGTGTGACTTTCGACTCTGTGCAGAGTTGACGTTACGAAATGTTGACGCTAGGCTGACTTGACGTTACGGAATGCTGACTCATTGCTAATTTGCAGTAACAAAATGTTCATTCGTGGCTAATTTGACTTTGGAAAATGCTGATTGTCGAAGAACTTTACGTTATAAAATGACCATGTTATGATGTTGTAACAACTGCCAATGTGATGCCTCCCTGTGGAATAATTGTGATCTAGCATTATGATGAGGACCATCTTCAACATTTTAATCAGTAGAAGCACAGAAAACGACGTATAAACTACACAAACATGTGACGACGTAACGACCTACACGTTTTTGTGACGTATTGCTAATTTTTTGTCTGAAATTCGCTTCAAATCATTAGTGGTGAAATTGAGTTTAAATTTCCCAATCACTTCTATGCACATTTATTAAAGCGCATTTTGAGATTTGTATAATTGATTATCATGGTAAGCTGACATTTTATGATTATTGTTGCAATCGTGATTCATTTTATCTTCCAATTGCAGATTATGAATTTCAGTAATTGATTTAACAAAATGTTTCGTTGGGCAAAATCCAGTTTCAAGGGCAAGAAAACACCGAAGGAAAAGGGGAAAAAAGAAAAAGAAACCGCAATCGTTGAAAAGAATAAACACAAAAATATTTTTACAGCATGCACGAAGGCAGGAACTTTAGAACCGCCGTACGAAAGAAGCAGTCAAACCTCAACTGTGTCAAAAAAAGATCAGCATTCCGATGATAGCGCAGACTCCATTCAGCGTCATGCAGGCAGTCGCGCTACGAAGCCCAGAGCGACAAGTTTGATCGTGCCAAGTGAAGATAAAGTTGATAAACTTCGAGTTTCTCAACTTGAAAGTGACACCCGAAGCTTGGTTGAACTTAAAGGTGACAATGATAATAATAAACGCAGCGAACTAAGCCTCAATAGAAGCGTTCATAGTCATTCCACCGAGAAAAATGATGAAAAATTAGGAAAAACACAGAAATCGATGGATTTGAAGAACAGATCGTCGGAGACCTCAGACGCTGCTGAAAAAATTTTGGAGGTGAATGGGCATGCTGGCGTTCCAATTACCTCAACCAAAACAAAGAAAACAAGTGAAGGACCGGAGGGAAAAATCGCAGTTTTATCTAATAAAGAACCTGAAGATTCCGAAGCTATCCAAGCCGCAGTGAATTATCACTGCTTAGCTTCGCCCGGGGCCACTAATGATGTCGACGGGAGTGGGGGAAACAGCGATATGCTCCGGCCAGGTAAGGGGGACTTTTCCCTGGTAAATGGGGTCATGGAGAAGAGCAGGGTTGGGCCGGTTAGCAGCCCTCACAAGGATGACCTTCCTTTGGATCGATTGCAGACTTCAGTTTGCGGTGGGCAGCCTCGTGAGCACAGTGTAGGTTTGCCTGTGCCTTCATCTGGTGGTGCGGCTCCTGAAAACTTCACGTCCAAAGTTTCCTGTGAAGATCAAATACAAACTACCAGGAATTTGCACACAAACGAAACCGATGCGTCAAAAGGCTTGAATAATATTTCTGTTGAAACAAAAGTTTTAAATAATGATCTTTCAGTTGCAAGTGCATCATCATCATCGGCCATCACGAAAGTCAACGAATCAAAAAAGCACGTAGATGTTGGTAATGAGTCTCGCATTACTGATGAGCCGTCAGCAAATGCTGAGCCAGAAATATCCTCCCTTGACAACAGCGATTCAAAAGCTGTGTCGAGCATTCTTTCTGCTTTAGAAGACAACATCGTTAGAAATTTTGATGAGTCCGATGCAAAATCTCCGCTTCCGAAAATAATATTGAAAACGGAAAGTGATCATAACGGAAAAGTGACCTATGAAGTTGGAGGCGCCAGTGGGAATGAAGTAAATGTGTCATTCAGTGATAACTTCAATCATGAAAGTGAATTGTGTGAAGTTGTAGAGGCGCCGATAATAAAGAAGAATTTCACTCCTCTCACAACCAAGGATGAGAAGAAAAATATAAAAGAAAATGTATCGTCAGAAGATGTATCATTGAATGGCCTAAGTTGCAATAAAAACAACGCAGAGAAAGTATCTGCGGTGGACAATATTTTGGGCGATATTATTGTGGACCCTGACGTCATCGGCGCGCCCCTCGGCAAAGAAGTTCTTAATGTGTCCACGTCAAAGGATGGGCTCATAACGCGGCAAACTGGAGGGGCAAGCGGGAAAGAGATAACCATAACGATTAAAAATCGTACGGGCGATGAAAATAAAATACCTGTTGAAGAAGAGGTAATTAAAAAGGAAAGGTTTTCTCCCCTTGGTTCGGAGGACAAACTTGCTTTGGACAAACTACCATTTCGTGAAAAGTCGGTTATCGAATCTGCAGTGAAACGCAGATTCGGAAACTTGTCAATCGAGCCTAAGTTAGAATCTGAAGCAGACATACTTTCTACAAAAACAAGTTCGGAGCAAGAATTGATTGTGGCTGACTTGAAGGAAAACTTAGACTCGCTATGGTCTGATTTAGATGACTCGTTGCAATCAGCAATTCAAAGTGCTAAAAAGAAGACTACCTCGCCCACGTCAGCGATCAAGAGCAAAGTGACAGATCGAGAGCCGAATCATCACCCCTCAAAAGAGCTCATTGATAGACAGACGACTCGTGGAGCCGAGCAAGGCTCCCCTGCTCAGGTGCTCAGAGCTCTGAACTCAATCAAGATAGCATCATCCCTCTCCTCGAACCCATACACCTCATCTCAGTCGTCCTCAGCTGCTTCTTCGCCTTCTAATCGTGTCTCTCTTCACACCACGAGCTCGTCGACACGAAATTCTGAGCCTACATCTTCTCCTCTCGCCGCCTCCACTTCCTCTCCTCTCGCCAGGGCGCCTCGGCAGGCACCGGGACAAGTGCGTACGATTCTCATCCCTCGATGCTGCGCTGCACGGCAGGTTAGAATGTCATACGTGTTTCTTGATATTACTTTCATTACTTATTTATAGCAATGTTTACAAGTTTCTTTGTATGACTTGTTGTTCGTTATTTGATATGAAGTTTGATATTTATTTGATTTATGTGGAGTTCGTTTGTTATTTTATATCATCGTTCTCCAATTATTATAACTATTGAGGTTGTGATATTATAAAGGGTATTATATAATTATAATATGTAGGTTTTAGTAATTTTTGTATTTTATTCCGATGTTTTTGTATCCTAATTTCATGAGAACCAGTCCTTTAAAGTACTAATAAACAATTTATACTGCCGCTGTTAACTCGTCAAAAAGCACACACGCTAAAATTCAATAGCATAGCATTTATTATATAAATAATTCCTTAACTACTATAAACTGACATTTTGAACCTAATTAGCCTCGGTTTATTTAACTGGATGCGTATATTTAGACTGAAGCAAGCCTCATCCCAAGCATATGTTAGTAAAGATTTATTATTATTTTCAAAAAAATTTTACATAGAAAGCATATTTTAACCCCAATACTTTAATGTCACAGAGGCCGATGTGAAATTAAAAAACTCTTTGTGTGTACATTTCTAGAAAGACATCTAACTAAGTTATCGCAATTTACGGAATTGTAACATATGGATTTTATTTAAAATTTCAGACATTTAACTAAGTATATAATCGCAATTTTCGGAATTGTAGAATATCGGTTTTTATTTAAAATTTCACATTGACTCACTACGATAAAGATTGTTTAGTGTATAGCCTCAGGGAACTTGATTTGCTAAGTGACCTTTACCTTTGCTGGACCTTGCATGCAGTGCCGAGTCTCTTCCTCTTGGCCGTAGTAAATGCTCTGTGAAAATTCACAATAAAATGTTAAGCGTCAACTGTCATGTGGAGAAAATATATGCAAGCTGTTTAATTTTTTCTGCTTATGTAACCCTTATATGCGGGTATACATACTTTGTTGACGTCATTTAGGCCGAGTCTTTTAAATTTATTTAAATCGGGCCAATCATCTATTTTAAAATCGAGAGGACATAATCTGATCAAGTTAAACAGGTGTAAGTTGTTCAAATCTAGCTTATTTAATCTGTTTAGCTATTTTAATGAAGCCTTGGTATGGTGTATAAATTTATTCTATTCATAATGGTTAAATGAAACTAACGTGCGTTGTTGAAATGGAAGTATGCCTTTCAAATTTTTTAAATCAAAACGGCGCTTTTTTTAATTTTTTTCGACAGTTTTTATTCGTTAAGCTTTGAGTTTGTGCTCTGATTTATTGATTATTTATGTACAGATCTTTTTAGAATCTGGCACGTATTATCCAATTATCAACGTTCATATTTCCCTATTTGCTGCCCACTTCCTTCATCCATTCTCGCATTCGTTCATCGGATCAGTTTTTACATCACTTCCTCTGCCACGTACGTCGCCGCGCTATGTACATATATATTTATTGTTCGTATTTTATTTATCTTCAATATATGTACTTCATTCGTGTGGAGTGAGGCGATTTTTTGTTCATTGTTGTCGAGATAGAAATATTTGAAACTTAAGTTCCGTTAAATTCGTTTTACAAAAAAAATAAGAGCACCACCAATAAAACTTGACAGTTTTTCTCCAAGGTTCCTAGTTTTAGGGTAATTTTTTTACTATATTCTAAATTAAATATAGATAAACAAATTCCAATCAAGAGGCGATGTTTTGTTCATTGTTGTCGAGATATAAATATTATAAACGTAACTTCCGTTAAATTCGTTTTATAAAAAAATAAGAGACACCAACAATAAAACTTGACAGTTTTTCTCCAAGGTTCCTAGTTTTAGGGTAATTTTTTTACTATATTCTAAATTAAATATAGATAAACAAATTCCAATCAATATTAATTTTATTTGACGACTTAAATAATCGTTGTATAAACTTTTTTCGAAGAACTTGATTTTTTAATGAAAAATAATTTATAACAAATTATAGAAACCTAAAACTAATGCGAAAAAATGTATATGATAAAACGGTCGCCACACAGACGCCACAGCAAATTTTTCTCTAACAACATTTTTTGATAATTAAAGACACTTTATCTAAAACCTGTGAAAGCAAATTACATGCCGGTGAAATATATATGATAAAACTTTGATGCAGATGCACTCGCTCTGCAGTGCCAGCGACCTTGGGAACTCTTTGCTTCTTTGTATGCGAATCTTCGCTTCTTTGATTGCCGTTTAGATTGCCGTACATGCAATTTATTGATGTTAATTGTAACGAAAAATGATATCTTGAGTTAATTAGTGACTGAATGTCATATTTGGTTAAAATTTCAGCCAAAATTATGGACATGGATACAATCGAAATAAAATTGTGTTATTGGCACTTTTAATCAATAGAATTCGACTTAAAATTTGATTGTTATTGCAACTAAACTGTCACTTACGAATATTGCCTTCAAACTGTCCATCTCAAATATTTATTGAGACTTGATTGTACGAATATTGTAAAGAAAATTTCCTTCACGAATGTTGAAACGAAATTCTTTAGTAACAAATTAGTTATTCTGAACATCGTAGAAAACGAAATTTATCATAGCATATTTTTGAAGTTTGTTGTTAACTGTATCAACATTATCGATAAAATAGTTCATTGTTTCGAATGATGTTGTATGCGATCATTTTATTTGTAATTTAACAACTTTAATTTAAAATAGCGATCAGCAATTATTCATATCCGAGTGCCGTGGTTTAAACTTTAGAGAATTAGGCATAAAGTTTATTACTTTAAATTTTCTTTTAGATTTCATTTACATCGGAATGTAATTTAAATATTATGGTGTTTTCTTAGCCTAATTTTCAATGAGATTAAAAAACAAAATCTCGTAATTTCTAATCTATAAGGCATCTCGTATCCTTTTAATTATTTCGAAAATAACCTACGTTGTTTTAAGAATACTTCGTTTCAACCCACTTTTAGCATTAGCTCCCATTTAATCCCGGCTTGAATAAATTTAGGACACCAAATTGAAATTCACATTTAAATTTCTTTAATTCGCCGTATTCGCCTCTAGTTTTATAGTGCCTCAAAATTTCACCAGTATAGTGTCTCACAATAAATAGGTGCTCGAGTGCTCCTATTTATTTCAAGTGCAATGCATCAGACAGACCAAGAAAACACTAACTTAACAAACTTCAACCAATATGCATTAGATATTATCAATGGCCTTTGTAACTTACCACGCATTTAAACATTTAAAATTAAGACAAGATTTTATTCCAGGTCTGTTGACTGCTACCCTATAAAAGAAGAACCTTCATCGCCCGTCGAAAACGTGATCGTGGCCACTCAAGTCTTGCATGAGAACGTTCCGTTGCGGGCCACCCTCGCCGAAGAGGAGGAATTCGATGACATTGAAATTTTTGACGAGAAATTTACGCTTGAAACCAACGAGAAAGAGTCCTCGGCCGTTTGCGAAGATTCGTCGGTACCAAAACCACCCATCGCAACAGATTTTGTTAACAAGCGTTATGAAAAACATGAAGGTCAATCGAGCGAAAACGGGGAAAATTCACTGGAGACAGCTCACCAAAAATCACCCACGGATTCTGAAAGGAGAAAGATTCGAAGTGAAAGAAGCGGTTTTGTCGCCAGTCTCATCGGAAATTTTGAGTCGTCTTCACCGGTGCGAAAAAATTCTTTCGATAAGAACAGGCACAGATCTTCTAAGGATTCCTCACCTTCGAGAAGCGAAGATGAAGAACACGGTCTAACACGTTCTAGAGTTACCAAAACATTTTCAAAAGAACATGGAAAGGTTATGCCAGTCGAGGAAAAAGTCAAGTCAGAGGTTCCGATTAAACCGGAGACATCACCTAAACCCGAAAAACTTGTGAAAAAGTTCAAATCGGCTAAGCCTGTTGTTGTGAGCGCGAAACGAGACACATCTCCACATTCCGAAAAGACACGAAGCGTTTTAAAAGGAATAAAAACTGTCGAAAAAGAAGAGGAGCCAATACTTGTTTCGTTTGGAGGGAACAATGATGAAGCTCAGTTTAATAAATCAGAATCGAAGCGAGCTACAACGACTGCTGAATCAGACAACGAAAAGAATATAATACCCGAAGAAGTTGTGCCAACGGTGAAAATAACTTTAACCGAAGCGAGTCCAGAAAAGAAACTTTCTGTTAATAATGACACTGACCTTGTGTTCGCAAATGGAACCAGTGATGAACCTAGCAAAGATCGTGTTGTTGTTTTTGTGTTCAGGGATCCTGAAGAAGATATCACTATCGAAACAGAGAATAATAACATAGAGTTATCTTCAAACGATGAGAAAACAATTAATGTGCAAGAAGAATCAGAGACACAGACAGCTGATTATTCAATCAACGTTTCGTCGGAAAGTGACAGTAACGATAAAGAATTGCACGAAAATATACCAGAGTCCAAATCCGAATCTAAATGCTCCACGGAACCGCTACCGAAAATTGGTTGGTGTGTGGAGCCTCCGACGTCGCCTTCAGCATCTGCCTCTTCCAAAGAACCTGAGCCAGGAAATGAAATTACCGCAAAAATTCAAGATACAATCTTGGACGCGCAGTGCAACGATGAATTACACAACGTGAACGATGAATGCCGTGACTCAGATGAAGAAAATAGGCTAAAAAAATCAGAGAATCCTCCTTCACCGTTTGATGAAGAGCCCAAGCAAGAGTCGACCCTCTCGAATTCATCGTCCCAAACAATAAAAGCCAGCGAGAAAACAAGTTTAACCGTCAACACGGTGCCCGTGGTGGAGGAAACTGAGAAAGAGATCAAACCTCCGACGATTGTCGAGCCATCGACGGATTGCTACCTCAACCCGTGCAAAGGTAATTAGATACGTGAATTACTACAGGGACGCATCCGGTCAGTCACTCAGCTGTTTGAATGTAATTACAGGTACATTTAGTCTAAGTTTCCCATCAGTGATTAACGTAAACGTTTATTTCAAAACAATATATATTAAAATATATATATTAAAATGATATAATATTAAAATAGACTAGTGTCAGTGTTCAGGATTAGGTCATTTGTGGGTTCCCGCAGATTCGATAAATTTCATCGCTGAATTTCAATACCTAGCTTTGGCTCTCAAACTCTAAATTCGATGCAATTTTGGCAATCTTGACCATTCGACTGCACCAAAAATTAGCTAATTTTGATAGTATTTGTGGAATTAATTATTACTTTTGTTTTTAAAACGGTCGGACAGTTGGCTAGGATTTATAATGGAAAATATCGAAAAAACTGATTGTATTTTATAAACATTGCTGGTTTTTGTTACCAGAAATGAGTGACCAAACTTGGGAAAATTATTTGAATTTAAAAATATACCTATATATATTTACTTTTCAGTTTTGTCAGTCTGAAATTTTTACTTCTTTACAGAGCTTTTGGCTACTTCAGTCAACAAATCCTCTCAAGGAAATTCTTCTAATCCGTTCGGCGATTCCGAAGAAGAATCGGAAGAAGCCATCACAGTCGTTGTCGACTCGTCAAAAAATCCTATCAGTAGTCCTTCTAAATCCCTTAACCCTTTTGACGATGACGAGAGCGAAGAATTGGCAGAAAATGGAGGCATATCAGCGATACCGGAATCCCTTAGATCGACTCCTTCGCCATTGCCGCGAAACTCCATACCTCCGAAACCAACTCCACGAGCCTCAAAATTGTCTATTGGAGGTTCCAACCCTTCACTCTATTGCCTCGATACTAAGAACTCAACCGAGAGTCTCAACTGGCCTTACGCCCTGCGCTCCCCTCTCAACGTTTCAACCCTTTCAACGAAGTCACTGAACCCTTTCGATGAGTCCGAGGAAGAGGATGACTCTCGAGGAGGGTTCCAGCGATACCATAAAGGCAACGCGTCGGTCCGAGGAGGGGAAGGGAAATTCAACACTGTGGGCAAGGGCAAATTCAGAGGCTCGCTGCCTATGAGGCGCACCAAACGCAGGGCGCCTCTGCCTCCAGGAATGGTAATTTCAAATAGAAAATATTGATCATTTGTTTATTGGATGATGTTCAAGAAAGGTATTGATCACCTGTTTATTGGTAGATATTCAACGGAAGGTATTGATCGTCTGTTTAGTGGTAGATATTCAAAAAGGTATTGATCATCTGTATATTGGTAGATATTCAATGAAAGGTATTGATCATCTGTTTATTGGTAGATATGGTATTCAACGGAAAGCATTGATCATCTGTTTGCTGGTAGATATTCAACGGAAGTTATCGATCATTGGTAGCGAAGGATATGAAGATGCAACTATACATTTTGTGTTTCTTTTATTTTTTGGTGACAGTTGGGGTGGGTTTTTCCTTTGATGGCATGGCTTAATGAACTTAGACTCTGTTAATTGGTCGTTGAGAATCACTATGCTCGCTAAAAGCTTGTTCTCGAAAATCGACGTCGGCATGTTTTTAGATCCATGGGTGGAATTCTTTCAGTATAATTATTCTAATAATTATCTAAAATTATTTCCCGACCATGACAACAGTCCGTGTGCATGCGGTCGGTCATGGGAGAATTGCTTCTGTGTTTCAGTTTTATTAATTATCCGAGAATCCAAAATTAAATCATGTGTTTATTACAGCAAGCGCCCTCGCCCAGTCCCGCCCACGGACCTCTCACGTCCTCTCCTTCAACTCCTGCCGGATAATCGTCTGTTCAGTGGTAGATATTCAACAGAAGGTATTGATCACCTGTTTATTGGTAGATATTCAACGGAAAGTATTGATCGTCTGTTTATTGGTAGCGAAGGATATGAAGATGCAAATATACATTTTTGTTTCTTTTTAACGCATTTTCTCATTTATGAAAAAATGCACTATTGTTTTTCTTTTTTTGATGATAGTTGGCCTGGATTTTTCCTTGATGGCATGGGTGAATGAATTTAGACTCTGTTATGTGGCGTTGGGAATCACTATACTCAAAAATCGACGTTGACATTTGTTCTGATTCAAGGGTGGAATTCTTTCAGTGTTATTGTTTCACTAAGTATCCAAAATTATTATTAATAAAATTAAAATTAAATTATTATTATGACAAAGGTCCGTGTGCAGGCGGTCGGTAAGGGGAAAATTACTTACATGTGTTACTTCTATTAAGTATCCAAAAATCCAAAATTAAATCATGTGTTTATTACAGCAAGCGCCCTCGCCCAGTCCCGCCCACGGACCTCTCACGTCCTCTCCTTCAACTCCTGCCGGATTCCTACGTCTCAATCACTCCAGCCTCGGCCAACAATCTCCAATCTTCGCTCCAAATAATACCGGCAGCTCCCGACAATCTCCCTTCTCTGATTCCCGGAGAAATGGAGATATGGAGCAATCACCCGTGCTGGGGGACAGGAAAGCTGGTAATCGTAGCGGGGGAGCCTCCCCCAGCACGAGCTTCAACGGACTTGGAGCCCACCCTACGGGGACCCGGAGGTCCACGTGGGGGAGTAGCCCCCGTAAAATTCCCCCGCCCCGTCCCCCTCCACCCAGCCCCTCAGCTCTCAAGACTATTAATAAATGATTCGTGTCGAACTTTTTTTATCAATTAACTGAAATGATTTTCTCTTCAAGACACTCAACGATTTTCAGTTAATTGATTTCAGTTAAGACACTCAACGAATGACTGGTCCCGAATCACTTGCCAATTAACTGAAATAATTATTGCCCTTTTAATTTATTAATAAATATTCACGGTCATTGAGCTTAAGTCATTGGCAGTTGTAAAATACTGAAATAATAATTGACAAGTCTATGAATCCTATTAATTGTAATGTTATAATAAAAAATAAAAATTAAGGTGAATAATTTTAGTGGTGACGTTTAAAACAATTCACTAATTGGAGGTATGAATAAGTCAAGTAACTAATTTAATCCTAAGTAATTCTTAGGATTAAAGCAATTGACATATGAAAAAACACAAGTAGTCCATTTTATTTGTTGCTATAAAAATATTTTTCAATTATTTTTCAGTTTTAATGCAAATGTTTGGCGAATGCTTCGTAGATTTTTAGTTCTAGTGTTTTTAATTTTTTTATGAAGCCTTAGATGAGAAGCCGCAGTCTGTTTAATGAATAATATTACAGTATGAATAAATAAATAATGCGATGCGAATAAATTTGTTTCTTTTTAAGGAGTTACAGTTTTAAAATTTTTTGTAGTAACTTATAATTTCAAAAACAAATTATTTATATGACTTATATTCCTCTAAATCCGTATACATGTTATTCGTGGGATAAACATTTTATTCGTGTCGAGTTGTTCAGAAACTGAAATTTTTTCGTGTAAAGCTGATCATGTTGTTCGAAAATTTACACTTTTCACGTGTCAAGTTTTTTGAAAATTCCAACTTTTACGTGTGGAGCTGTTCAAGTTTCCATTCTTTTAATTCGCAGAGTTTTTAGTCATTTCATCGAGCCTTTGTTTTAAAACCTCAAATGAGTATTATTATTAATTCGAAAAATAATAATGACAATTTATCAGATGGGCGGTTTAATGTTTTGCTATAATTATACATCTATTTTAAAATCCAGTCGATGTCAGCCACTTATGTGGTCTTTGGGTTGGATAAGAGACTTATTCTTGCAACTTGATCACTTTTTACGAACAGGCATAACTTTTATTTGTTATTGCACTCGGTCTTAATACATAAAAGTAATGTTTAAATCGTTCGTTTCAAAGAAACCAACACTTGCTGCTTATTTAGAAGAGTACATCTTTGTTGGATTTTTTATTAAGTGCTTCATCACTTGACGGTTATTCTGTCATGAGATGAACTGTTTTATTTAACAAACTAAACGTATAAAATATTTTCCGGAATTTTTGCCGGCAGCAACATCAATTTTAGTTAATGTATCAATTCTACAAAAATTGAACTTTTTTCGACGTGTTGAAGATTAAGTCTGCCATTTGATCAGAAACTACGGTCTGCAATTTGAGCATAAAATGCAGTCTGCCATTTGATAAGAAACTACGGTCTGCAATTTGAGCATAAAATGCAGTCTGCCGTTTGATAAGAAACTGTGGTCTGCAATTTAACCACAGAATGTGGTCTGCCATTTGATCATAAAATGCAGTCCGCAATTTATCCACAAAATGTGGTCTGCAATTTGAGCATAAAATGCAGTCTGCCATTTGATAAGAAACTGTGGTCTGCAATTTAACCACAGAAAGGGGTCTGCCATTTGATAAGAAACTGTGGTCCGTCATTTAACCACGGAATGTGGTTTACACAGGCGACTGTGATGCGTAATTTCCGTGTCTTACATGCAGTATACGTTTAAGTCTTAAATTCTGATGCAATCCTTCACAGAGGCGAAACGGTTCCACAAAAAAAAATTGCCCTATCCTAATATTTTGATCATTTAATATTTATTTAAAGTTCCGATTCGTTCCCTTCATATGTCATAAGCTCATTATTTTCACCATTCACCGATGAATTATTAATATTTTTCATGAATCAGAGTAATTGTGGAACTGTTTCGTGTCTTTTAAGGCCTGCTTCTGGTAATCGAGTGTCTTATATTTGTGCCAATTAAGTGTTATGAAATCAATCTCTGACCAATTCATAGTGATTGACTTGTTTCACCGCAATTGTTTCAGTTTTATAATGATATTCTGCGATAATTGTTCATATACGCACTTAAAAGTTAATCTTGCGAACAATTGATCGATGGAAATTCGTGTGTAATAAAGAAGCTTAAATCTAAATTTAAAACTTCGTTAACGTCCAACCAAAAACACGCGTATTTTTGTAGAGGGGCATTATAGTCTGCGTAAATTATAAGCGTATAGATCTGTACTAGAAATGCGTTTTTATTCGTAGGTTGCAATAATTTCTAGAGCGCTAGATGCGCACTGACGCATAAAGTGCGTTTTGTATTCTAAAGGGGATTAATTAATTAATTAAGGGGATTAATTAATTATTCTAAAGGGGGTTCCTGGGATTAATCGAAATTTAAAACTCAATTTCTACTCGTATGCTTAACGACATTAACACCCAATGAACTGTTTAGAATTAAAAAAAAATAAGTACCAAGCTCGTGTATTATTCAGTTGAGTGTATTATTGATAATCATAGCAATGATATATGTTAGCATTTCGTTGATCCCGAGTATTCTCATGGAAGAAGATGTTGTGTTTTTGCAATAATTTCTTATTGCGAATTCTATTTAATTTCTATTCTATATTAATTCTTTTTATTTTCTTGATAGCCCCATTACACAAACTTTAGCTATACATTTAATTACCACGTATCTTCAAGGGATACGTCGCCTTAGTTTACTTAAGAATTTCCAATTCAGTTTTATTGCAATTATTATTGTTATTATTGCAATAATACTTATTGTCATTGCTATTGTTATTGCAATAATAATAACTTTTATTGAAATTATTATTTTCTATTAGGATTTGCACTTGAAAAAATATAAAGAATAGAAATTTGTTGGAGTAGAGACGTAAAAATGTGTAATTTCATAATTTATTACCTGCTATTTCCGGTAACTAAGTCTTATGGGTAAACTTTTTTAATAATTGTTAAGATAATCACACAGAATGTTAAGGAATTTCCTGTGTACGGATTTACACCAAATTTTATGACTTGACGTCTGTAAAAATTGAGTAAGGTTAAGTAGCCCTAATCAAATCTTTCTTAAATGTAACATAAGCTCGTTTCTAATACCAAAACTATTAGATGATTCGCTCTTTAATTAAATAAAAAATTCTCACTACACTGCGTGGAATATCGAGTGCCAATATCATCATAATTGGCTGTTATCATGTTATATATAACATATAATTCATTCTCCATGAATTATATGCATAAATTAGAAACTGTGACGTATGGTGGATGCTCGAAACACAATTGACTCTTAATCACCTCATGCACTCAGAGAAATAAGTGAAAATTTGCCCTAATAGCGATGCACTTCCCGCTCTCGTATGGGTCAACTTGACTCAGGTTGGTCCGGAAAATGGCGTACTTGTGCTATGTACGTTATCTGCTAGTGCTGTGCGTAAGAAAATGTGCTTTTATTAGGACAATGTGACGCGTTCATTTTTCTAAGTGCATGTGTAGGGGTGAATATTCATAAAAAATATAACTCAGTACTCACTGCAGTGAGTGACAGAGAGCGCATTTTCTCGTCGACGGAAACTTGAGGTCACGGACAGACGGACGGACAGACAGACAGACGGACGGACATGGCGAGCACAATAGTGCATTTTTTCCATAAATGAGAAAATACGCTAAAAGGCATCGCCAGGATAGCATTCTAGTGCCTTAGGAATAAGTGCCTCGATAACTCGCTTTTAGAATTTGTTGTATTATATTTATATCGCTAAGTGTTTCTTTCCTGAATTACGTTCATACCATGAACGTGTTTCCTATTTACATAGACTAGAACTCTGCTGATTTTAACGCTTTTTAATTAATACGTTCTATGTGCTTTGTAACCTTATTTTGGTTGTGTGTTGGTAACTCGTATATCTATATATATGTATATGTTCTCACTATATTATTCATTATAACGGGACTTAAGTTTTGCGGGGTTGGGTCTAGTCTCTGATATGCTGTATAGTTCCTTATATGTTATGTAGTCTCTGATATTTTTGTGCTGCTATAATGATATATTCTCAGACATTTGGTTGTTTTTCTCGTTCATTC